GCGGGGGCAGGCGGCGGTGACTTGAGCACCCGCCCCGGGGCCGCTTGTGTCCTGCAGCGCGCGCAGAGGATGCTCGCTCCCCTCCTTCGCAGAAGCGACGAACAGATGACTCCACTTCCACTGGCGACCTGCAGCCTATGCCACCTTCTCCAGCCGCCGACGTGCAAAGCCCAAACGCTCAGGACGCTCTGTTTTCCAGCCCTCCGCAGTTCCGCCACTCAGGTACGCTGAGGCCACGCTTACCTGTTTGGCAGTATGGCTGGCCCATGGTGATGGTTTAAGCAGATCCTGCCACTCTGTTCGAGCCTGTGCTGAATGCTCTGGTATGCTCATATACCCAGCTGCATGTGGTCTTGTGTAGCAAGCCAGCCTGGAGAACAGATCTGGCTGAGAAATACTCTAGGAGAAAGTTAAGTTTTTTTTTTTTCTCAGTTCCTCAGTCAAGTTTGGCACAGTGAGCAGTATAGGAAAACAGTCAGCATACCTTAGGGGAAACATTATTTTAATTAATCTGCTTTTGTAGTTTCAGACTACTAAGGAAATATATGTCACGATAGCTTATGTAGAAATACATAAGAACATAATAGAATAATTGAATGAAATACTTGAATAAACTAGAATTATTTATATAGAAAGGATCAGAATTGATTGTGGTGTTAATTCTAAAAAGCCTTTCTTGCTTTTATAAACAGGGTTGTTTTTAACTGCAGTAGTTGCTTGTCAATTGTTGCCATTTATTTTACTGCTTAAAAATATACTGAAGTGTAGTTAACTGGAAAACACTATATTTTGATGTTAAACACTAACATATTTTAAAATGTTACTGCTTTACAGTTACTAAATAAAGCTTAATGAAAACTTGTCAGCTTTGGGAACAGATGTCAATGCAAAGAAAAGAGCTAGGTAGACTAGATACTTTTTTTTTTTTTTCTTGTAATAGAGAACTGGAATTTATATGGATTGGCTATTCATTTTATGACAGTAGAGCTGCAAGATTGACAAATACTGGCCATGCATTTCTATCTTTAGTTTGTTCTAATAGTAAAATGGCTTGATAAGCATAATTAAATGTTATCTTTATAGCTATTCCTCTCGACTTCGACATCAGTTCACCTCTGACTTATGGGACACCCAGTTCCAGGGTAGAAGGTACTCCACGAAGTGGTGTACGAGGAACTCCAGTTAGGCAGAGGCCTGATCTTGGGTCTGTCCGCAAAGCCAGACAAGTTGATTTACAGTCCGATGGGGTACGTACATGACTCAAATTTTGTGTTTGAGAACTTCTTTTCAGAACAGCTATCCACGTTTGTGCGTGCTTAATTTGTTTCCGCACAGCCAGCTGAGGATGTAGTGGCAAGTGAGCAATCTCTTGGACAAAAGCTTGTTATCTGGGGAACAGATGTTAATGTAACTTCATGTAAAGAAAAGTTCCAGGTAGGTTAAAAACTGATTTTTTTCCTTCTTCCAGGAAAAAACTGTTTTTATCTTAAGTACTGGTTGACACTGGTACAACGCGTGTGCGGATTACTGAATTTGATTCACCCTTCCCTTCTGTTTCTCTCATCTACACCATTCAGAGATTTCTCCAGCGTTTCATTGACCCAGTAGCTAAAGAGGATGAAGACGTTGGCTTGGATCTTAATGAGCCACGCTATATGCAACGACTTGAAGAGGTACTTCTAACGTGGCTAAACCTACTCCCCCTCCCCCCTTTACATGCCATTGAGCTAAAGATTTCTTTTCATATATTTTGCAGATTAATATGGTTGGGGAACCATTTCTGAATGTAAATTGTGACCATCTAAGGTCGTTTGATGAAAATCTTTACAGGCAACTGATCTGCTATCCTCAGGTGAAGTAATGCAATTGTTTTCTGCTCTTTAAGATGCTTTTCCATACTTCTATCTTTTAACGTTTTTATTTAAACACATTGCATGTTTTGTATATTCAGCATAATCTGTGGCTTCTTTGTTTTCTGTAATATAAAATGTTTTACTTTGGAATATTTAGAACTTGATCACAGATATTATGGTAGGTACCCCATAAATAAAAAATTATACTGCAGTTTACCAGCTAAGTAGGATGCAGAGGTTGTGCCAGAGTCTTGTTTCATTGTTTTGTCTTTGCAATGCTCAAATGAATAAACTTGATCTAAATACTAAGTTTCCTGCTAGGTAGGGGAATGCTTACCCGGCATAAGTTTAGTCGTTCTGGGTTGTTCAGCAGCACATAAAAATCACAGAATGAAGTAAAAATGCTTTATGCAAAAATATTTCTAACCTTAACTGTTTCTGATTATTTTATACAGGAAGTTATCCCTACATTTGACATGGCTGCCAATGAGATCTTTTTTGATCGTTACCCGGATTCAATATTAGAACATCAAATTCAAGTAAGGCCATATAATGCACTGAAGACCAGGAACATGAGAAGTCTAAACCCTGAAGGTACACTTTTTGATTATCGTGTTCAGAAGAGAAGTGTAAGGATTTCTATGAACTTAGTGAATAGTAACATAAAATTATGTAAACAATTGTACAAAACTAGACTTGAGGTCCATCTAGACTGATGTCCTTTGATTCACATCATTGGTCTGTTTTGGAAGAAAAAGAAAAACCACAGAACAATCTATCCATAAAGGAAACTTTTTCTTTGACATCAGCTACTGCTGTTCTTGTTTCTGCAAGCGCGAAGCATTCTTTCTTTTGTAGTCGTGCAAATTAGAATGTTTATGCTATGCTGTTATAATTAATTTTTTTTTTTGTCTCAGACAAAATACCTAGTACCTAACTGTCAATGTCCATTTCCCACCTAAAAAGTAACTTCACATGGAATTTAGAAGGTTATTTTAAAAACATGATGTGATGACGCAAGTATCTGTATTTTGTAGATATTGATCAACTTATCACCATCAGTGGTATGGTAATCAGAAGCTCCCAGTTAATTCCTGAGATGCAAGAAGCGTTCTTTAGGTGCCAAGTATGTGCTTTCACCACAAGAGTA